ATAGGATAGAAAAACATATGGTTTGATTAATTAGATAGCATAAAATAAAAAATATATATAAATAAAAGAAGTAAAATCTATGTTTTTCCTAATTATTTTCTTTAAGTTCTATAACCTTCATAATATAGGACTCGAGAAAACTTTGTAATTTGTTTTCTTAATGGGTTAGGATCCCATCCTTTAATATGTATTAACCTTGAGTTATCTCAATAAGTTATACATGAAGGATTAGGTAGGTAAATCCTTACCAATTACATCTCCTTATCATATCACATCTTATATGAATACTAATCTTTGCCAACAAGTTTAATAGACCTTGAGTTGTCTCAACAAACCCAACAACTCATTTTAAGCTAGACCCAACGTTCGGGGACATCGTATGGCCCATTATTTTGTTGCCCTCGAGGAACAAGTGACCTTGAGTTATCTCAATAAGCTAATAATGACTAAGAGAGTTTCTTCCTCATAATGTTGGAAGACAAATAACTTAATATTTTATTTAAAAGATTTAATTTAGTTAGTCTCATCCTAGCATGCATACTAATCAATAATTAAATTATTCCTAACATGCATACTAACATTAATCGCATAATATATACACATCTCATGTATGACACAAGACCGATAAATGGTAATAGATCTCTAATACTAACCCCATCGAGCCACAAGGAGACTAGTGAGTTAAATACCTTGGTGTGAAATTATTACAAATTCTTCAAAAATATCTTTATTTTTTAACATCTTCTCCTTATATCTATTCTAATTTCTATCTTCTATTTTTACAGTTATTTGAATAAGAAACCCCGACTTACATTCGAGGGGAGTATGATGAGAAGAGAAATACAATTGAGTGATAGAGAAGGTAGGACGTGTAAGTTCTATTTATCCAAAAATTACGGACATTTACTCATAAAACTAGCTCGACTCATCCATACCATTGACTCATGCTTCAATCACATTGATACATGGCATACTAATGAAACACATTTCATTCAAAACTCAATTATAAATCTTTGTTTTGGTCAATTCATAAATTTATCAAAATTTGTATTTTAAAAAGTTTTGGCCCTTGGGTCCACTTTGGGCCCATGGGCTTTTAGACCTCGAGGATCCACGAGCTTTCATGCCCTAGCCCTCGCCTTGGCACCCTTACCTATGGCAAGCGGCTTAGTAAGCAAGCGCTTGGCTAGTGGCCTTGAAACACGCCTAGCTCGTGACCGGGCGAGCGGGTTTTGGCTTACAATGCCTAACGCATGAGCGCTTGGCCTATGGTCTAGCATACAAATGTCCGGCTTGCTTGTCTAGCGCATGGCCTAGCATGCATGTGCTTGGCTGCATGCCTCGCTCACGAGCCCGGCCTATTGTGATTGGTGCATGAGTGCATACCACGCAAATGCTTGATCGGCATGCCGAGCGCACGACATCATAGCCTGCGAGGCCGTCCCGTTAAGCACCCGCAGTACGACTAGCCCGGTCTATTGCATACCCAATGCATGAGTAGCCTAGGGCTATCATGGCACAACATACGACTAGTCTAGGGTTTTCGCATGTACGAGCGCCAACATCCAATATCGACCTTATGCTCCCCACCGATTTTCAACCCAAATTTTAGTTTTAAATTTATATAAAATATGAAAAACACAAGATTTATAATTAGGCATAACTAATTCATATAATTAATCATAATTAACATAACATACAATCAAAGATTTAATGGAGCCTTTGATACCAATTGAAGGATCATGCATCCTATGGAGGTGTAGAATAAAATAAAACATTCCTCTATCTAAACGACCCAATATTATGCTCGTTGAATCAACTAACTATATATTCATGAATTAAAGAGATGAATAGAGAATTCACCTTTTATAGCGTAGATTTAAATTCTTCAACAAAGAAAGGAGTCGTCCAAGCTTCCGACCTATATTGATTATCTATACGATCCAAGCAACCGCAAAGAAGCACTCAAAATTGGTAAAACGCTAGCTCCACTTTTTTGAATTTATTTAGTATTTTCCGTAGAAATCTAATTAGAGTAATTTTACGATAACCCAAGAGAGAGGGAGAGAAGGTGACTTGCTAGGGGTTTTTGAGAGAAAACTATTTTTCCCTTTTTTTTCTTTTTGGCCGTATGCCCTAATCCTTTTTTTATTTTTGTTGAATCCTCTCTCTCATAAAATTTACTTGTTGCCACATCTCTTCTCCTACTTATAGGGGTAGATTTTGTTATCCTCCAAAGATAAGGAGAGGGGCAGCAACTAGCCCTTATTAGACTCTTGGTTGTTACTTCCTAGTTCTCTAAGGATTAGGAGTTATTTAACATGCGGGCTTTTGATCTTTATCTATAAAATATTTATCCTTATCCAATAAGGTTCATATTTATCCTCCTACCAAATTATCTTCGGGCTTTTAATTAAACCTATTGGCCCAAAATAATTTTCTCCTAATTAATTAATTTAGACCATTCAAATAAATAAACTTAGATCATTTTAAGTGGTCCACTTAAAAAAAAATTTCTCAAAATATCCTTTAACCTAAATTAGGAAACTCATTTTCATTTTATGTTATTTACTTTCAAATTTAGAACTAATTTCAAAAATAGAAAACTGATTTCTAAAATAGAAAAATTTTTATTTTGAGAAACTTCCATTTTAGGAAACTTTTCATTTTCAAAAACCCTTTCCAAAATAGAAAACTTTCATAATTGGAAGCTTTTTTCAATATCTTTTCTTTTCTTTAATCATATGAATGCTTAAACTTATGCGTGTGACTCAATAGGCTCATAGATATATAGACAATATATCAAGAACAAAAGACACCTCTTTTATCTCTTGATAAATAAGTCAAGATTAGCCTCTAACAAGGTATCATGACTACCCAATTCTCTATGATGATTAATTAATCCTTTATTACCTTTCACGAGTATGGTTACCATACAATTCAGTCCTCATGTTAACTTATCACAAGTGTGATCTAAAACTTAGTTATAAGTCTTATTCGATTATGGTCACATAAGTTCTCAAATGTCTTAGCTCTTAGAGTAAACCAACTATGCTTTATTGGTGTACTCTTTCTATGGTAATAGATTTCTTGAGTAGACAAATCCTCTAATGAGATAACCTTGATCACTTTAAGTCTAAGGACCGATTAGTGCCTATCTCGTATGAGATTCCCATAGACTAAACCAAATGGGTTCTCATAGCGAGTCAAGTCTAGTGATATGTTCTCTAACATAAATCACTTAAGTGCTTGCTTTGGCATCACTATGCTAATAGGTGTGAGATCTCATACTACTATCGTATATCATGAGCATAACACTCATATGTCTAACCGCATATTATCAATGTCAATTCTTAATAATGCTATGACTTGAGAAATTTAATGATATCATTTATGTGCATTAGTATTTGTTTTACATTTTTCGATCAATCACTAATGCATATCATATGAACTTTTATCTAATTCTATTTAATCAATAAATGTAAATGAAAAAAATTAATAGACAAACTTCTTTTATTATAAATATTATAGATAATGCAATAATATAATAGCTCAAACCCATCCAAACACGGATGGATCTTGGGCACCTACACTAACATGACTACCTTATTGATCGCTCCTAGCTTTTATCTTTTCTTTTTCTTTTTCCTTTTTTCTTTTTTGAAAATTAACAAACTTTAAAATAATTTAATGTTTTAATATATATTTCATTTAATTAAATTTTATATATTATAATGGTTTCGGAATATTTATAATTTTTTATAGTATTTTTTCATTGTTAAATTGGAATATATTAAAATTTTCTTCAAAACAATGAAATAAATAATTACAAAATAAAAAAAATTAAATGGATCACTAAATTACAATTGAGCGACGATTCTAAAAAAATAGTCGCTAAATCTGTCGCTATTTAGAGACAGATTTAGTGATAGATTCCACAAATAGTCTTTAATTGTGGATAATTTACGATGGTTTTATCGATAATTTTGTTAAAACCATTGCTAATTAGAGACTAATTTAACGACGGTTTAAAAAATGAATGCTAAATTATCCAAATTTAGCGATAAATTTAGAATCAATTTATAAAAACCATTACTAACTTGAGACAAATTTAGCGACGGTTTAAAATAAAAAATCGTTAATATGTGGAAATTTAGCTATGGTTTTTACTCTTTTTGCAATGGTCTAGAAAAATTATCGCTAATGATTTAATGACAAGGTTTTTCTAGATGGTTTTAAACCTGTCTCTAAAAACTTTTAGCGACGGTTTGTTAGCATTTAACGATTGTTTAAACCGTCGCTAAATGCCTTTCTTTGTAGTGCAAGCTATATAGCAAATGGATTGGATTGAGAATTTGTCTTCACTCAACACAAGACGTTAGATCATAAAGATGGATAGGATATTTTGGAAGGGACATTGTCCATATTTTTATTTTAGGATGTATTAAGTTGATTGATTTGGCGGGATCAGAGCAAGGTATGCTAAAAGAAGGCTTAAATATTATTTCATTTACCTTTTAATTGCAAGTTATGCATAAAATATCGATTTTATTATTTTAGAATATACTTTGATAAAAAGAATTTTTCATGATACACCATATAAGGAAAAAAAAAAAAAAGGTGGCAATTTGATTTTTATTAATGAAACCAAATCTACCTTGAAAAAAAAATAAAACAAACAAATAATTCTGCCTAGACCCATTTACCTATATTGAAAGCTAGCAGTGTTGTTCTGTAAATATCTGGGTTTTGTCTGTACCAATGAAATCCATGGTTCCAATGAAAGTTAATGATATTCCAGGAAGGAAATGGCAATTAAATTGGTAATGAGAAATTGAGTACACTTAACAGAAATTATTGTCCAGCGGCGCGGATTTACGATCAAATAGAAATACAATTATCAAAGGGAAAAATGTTAAAATATAAAATCTGAAAATAAATGTGACACCATGAAATATTGTCAGGTCCCAGCTTTATCTTTCTTCAGGAAAAATAGAAATCTATGACCCGACTGAACGCAGCCTTGGCCTCGAATTGACACTGCGTGGGCTTACAGGTGGAGCAAAGAATTCTGCATACATGTTCATGAAAAACTTGTCAACAATATCAAGATAGGCCGGACATGTAAGGCGTGAATAATAGTGAAGAACTTCTTCAATGTCTAATACATGTTCTACGTTGCTAACATCCATCATTTCTAGTTCCTTTAGCTTTTGTGCCACCAAGAAACTCCTTCCCTCACTTGTAATGTGCCTAGAACTTGAATTATCATCCAGTTGTGATGTTTTCCTTGCATAAGCACTCTTCATTTCATATTTAGGATCATCGTATGTATAGTCCTGATCTCTCCTTCGTAAGTACTGATAATTCTTGGCAGCGGTTGCCTTAGAGAACTTCAAGAAACTTGAATTTAGGTCATGATCTCTTTCTTGTTTTGTTGATGAAGACGACGGTGCTGATATTGTCTTCTTCTTGTCTCTCTTGGATTTCTCTTTATCTGCGTCGTCCCACCTGTTGGGGAAGTCGTTGTAGAAGTTCTCCAAGTCTTTGTTGTTGATGAAGTTCGTTTGAGCCTTCATGTCAACACCAACAGTGAAAGAAGAATAAGTACCATCGTGAGTAGGATCTTTTGGTAGCTTTTGGTAATGATCACTAGAAAAGAAAGACTTGAAGCTTTGTACGGTTTTTTGAAAGAACTTTTTGGTGGAAGAGATGGAATTTCTAAGCAACATTGGCGGTGTCATTCAGTGGTTCTAGGTGGGCTGGTAGCAGTTGGTAATGTGACTTGTTCTTCTTTAAATCTGCAGGAAAAGACACGGAGATCTCTCTATCTGTTCTTTGGCCTCTTCTGGTGGTGATGATCTCAGGACAGATTTTTTATACAAGGGATAGGTAGAGGAGACATTAGAGAGTTTGTTTAAAATTCTAGTCAGGTCTCTCTTTTGGGTTCCACCTTATGTTTCTTTGTCTTCACACGCTCCTTTTCGTTTCTGCGCTCTATTCTTGCTAATTAATTTCCATTGAGTCCCCACTCTCTCACATGTACATTAGAAGATATCATCAAAGAAATTTAAGGAAAAGCTGGTGACTATTTCTTTATTATAGGATGAGATAGTTTCGTCACTTTTACTTTTTTAGGATGGTGGAGTTGGTGTGTAGCCTCTTTAGGAGAAAGAAAGGAGCGGGTGTGGTTGTGGTTGTTGAATTGGGGCTTTCGCTTCTCTCCAGTGGCTTGCTAGTGTTGTAAGACTTTTGCATAAAGCTTATGCAAAAGCGTCATTTGGATCTTCAAAACTAGTGTTCCATCACTCAGAGTTAGTCGAGTCGGTTTATATCATCCAATATCATCTTTTCAGAAAGACGTCTCGTAGATAATGACTTGCAATGCTTAAAAATTATATGAATTATGTAAGGATAAAACTTGAATCCAAAATTTGTTTCCGTCTCTTAATGGCAATTTTTTTCCACTTTTTCAAATAAGTACATTTCAAAGAGCTTTTCTTTTCTTTCTTTTTTTTTTTTTTAAAAAAAAGCTTTCACCAATCTTTCAATATTATATTTAAAACAAAAATAATACAAAATATGCTGAAAAAGAACATAAAACAGAGGAAAAACGATTAATTTATAGATATATTTAAAAATATAAAAACTAATAAATTAGTTTTTTAGAGATTATTTAATTCATTTTACAAAATTAAAGTAACTAATTTGAGGTAAAAGTTCTACATGCTTGCAACCCTATAGGTAAACACAGTATGGACATTTGGTAGCAGTGATGGATATATCAAAACTACTTTTCGTAATGGTCACTTCAATCATTTGGTTGTATCTTCTTCTTTTTTTTTTTTTTATCTTTTTTAGAATAACCGGTTTCCAATTGGATTGTGGGGTAGTGACTTCTTCTAATGTTGAATTATACGATGTGGGACCATAGCACAAGAACAGATTATTGTTCCGTGAATCACGGAATTACTTTTATTTGCAATATTCTACTTTTCATTTATGAAAAAGTACATTCCATTACGCATCCAAAAAAAAAAAAAAGGTAAAACGATAAGATCTACAAATTGTTCACGCTCCATTTATTTATTGAAAATTAAAATTTAAGAAAAATAATGATTAAAAAATAATGATTTTTTGATATTTGAATGTATCATGAAAATGAGTTATAGTTATTATTATTATTTTTTTAATGGTTGGCCATATAGTTTAAACTAATTTAGGAAAAAAAAACCATTTTTAAGTTATTATTTTTTTTAAAAAAAAGTAGTCGAGTTTTTAAAGATCTATAAAAAAATTATTCCGATATTGAGTATACATGGGGAAAAAAATATTTTCTATAGTTTCCTATTTTTATAATGGAATTTTTTATATTTAATATGTAAAATAATGTCAGCTTCATCTAAGCAGATTTTATAAAAAAAAAAAACAAAAGTAAACGATTATTAAACACATTCTGTAAATATAATCAATCTCTTAATTTTGTAAATAGATGAACTAAACTAACTTATAAATGTAAACTATAACTAATTTTATTAATGTTTTTGAAGTTTTAAATTTCTTAATTTTGTGAATAAATGAACTAAACTAACTTATAAATGTAAAATATAACTAATTTTATTAATGTTTTTGAAGTTTTATGTTATCAACAAACTAAATTAAAATGAATTAAATGAGCTACAATAAGTTTGGAAACCCCTCGTTCGAAACCGAGACCTCCCAAATTAGTTGGATTATGAGATTGGGCCTAATATATTGAGAATGGCTTTCCTTGAATGGAACAAAACCAATGAATTTTTAAGTAAAGCCAATCAGGAAAAAAAATAAGAACTATCGAAAAACTTATTGGGTTTTATCTATTTTTTCTATCCAATTTATCGGACCAGATCCAAAAATATATTTGGGCATAACATCTTACTCTCTTCTTTCCATTTGTGGAAGTCTTTCCCACTTGTGGAAATAAATTAATCATATAGAGCATGTTCGGTCAGTTTTAAAAAATATAACGGATTCTTAAAATCTGGTTGTTGCACTTCAACCTTCTTGATTCACTCAATTACATTGCAATATAAATACAACATTGCAGCCCCTCAACTTCTCTGTTCCATTGTAATTCTTCTTCTATCAATGATCATGTCTGTTTGCGGTCCATTCCGGTTGTCTCTTTACCGCTCTTTTTTAAGTAATTTCCTTCAATTTTATTTCTTCCTCACATGTGTTGTTTTCCTTTTTGTCTATTTATATGTTTGTTATATGTTTATGTGGCTATAGACGGTGGACTCTCGGTATGAATATGAGTTGCCCAGGGAGAATGTTAACGACCCCGATATGTCTTCTAGAGGTCTTGCAAACGAAGGTGGGAATGAATAATTGTTAGAACATCTTCCCATCACTCTGGTTTCTCTAGTTGTTCCTGCTCCAATGATAGTAAGTGTGGAAAAGAAAACAACATAAGCCCTCATCCCTATTACTCATTCCACTTCTATGAATGAAGGAATTGCTTGTGAGGAGATTACAATGATTAGGTTTAAAGAGAGGACTGAGGATTCAAAAGGTGACTCCTTCATTCCAACTGCGGCTACAGAGACATTAGGAACCTTGAAGGCAACCCTTCAGCTATGAGTGTAGATATTGATCCAATTAGGGCAGAAATTGCAGGACCGAGCTCTGATCAACATTTAGAATTTGTTTCCCCTCTACATTCCCTTCTTGTAGGACGGAATGATCCTCAAGGAAATCCCAATCACGTTGATTCGTACATCTGGCCAGCATTTCAATATATGCAGGGTCTTTAGTGAAGTGTATGACTCCTAACTGGTGCTTCTTTGAGTACATCACCACTCTTTTTATTTGGTGAACTTTAAACCATCAAAGGGAGCCGTTGGTCTAATGAGAGTCATCTTGGGATCTCTGGAAGGTCCTCTTGCACAATTACAGACTCCGTTGGCCCAATAAAGTTCTACTTTAACTCTCCAGTCTCCTCCTAGAGTGTGCTGCAATCCACAAGTTGTCATCTTGGTCATTGTTCGCCATCGGAACATAAGGTTAAGGACCTCCAAAAAAGAGGCTGCAAATCTTCGTAAAAAGTTGGAATATGTTGAAGGGTTGGTCAGAGAAAAAGATGTTCTTATCAACTCCGATAAAATGTTAGCGTTGTGGACGCTCAAATTAATGCTTCTTTTTCGTCTCTTTATAGAACAGGTCTAATCTCTTTTTTAACCCTGTATTTGTTTATTTGAAATGCCACTTTTGTTTGTAAATGAATATAATTGATGCTCTTTTTTCTAGTTAATTTTGGTTTTATTTATACATAAAGTGATTTTTTTTTTTAATCCAGTATTTTGGATTGTGACTCAAATTGTGCCTAGAGATCTTGATATTTTTCTCTAAGTAATATCTTTGCTGGTTTCCTAAATGCATGGCACATATTTTTTTCAAACATTTGCCATTTATTGTCCTTCTGTTGCTCTCCAAAGAGACTCTAGAGTAGATAAGTATTACCAAAAGGTAAGGTTTTGTAAACTTGAAGTGGTCATTTCCACGTTAGGGACCATTTACCTAGTTACCTATCTTTTAGTCCTCATGGTAGGATCACTTTCTGTGCTAGATCTTCAAGTTGAAATGTTCTAGCTTTAACTCTTTTATTATATGCTTTGGCAATCTATTGCTTCTGTACTTGCATAAGGGTTGAGATTTCTAATCTGAATGATCTATATTTTCCAACTCTTCCATCATTGCTTTATGATATTGCACCCATTTAAACCTGTTTTGGCATGCCATCCTTAGATGTCTAATACTGTTTTCACATGGAAACACAACACCGTGACCATATGTAAGGGTGTGCGGATTGGTGCTAGTTGCCTCCTAAGTGTAGTTCTATAAGTCCACAAATTATTTGGTAGCAATTCGTGCCATTTTCTAGGGTTATTGTTGATCATCTTTTATAAATTTAATTTAATAACCTTATTGGTGGACTCTATTGGACCATTAGCTTGGACATAATATGGGGTAAAGTTTCTAATCATGAATCCAATATCTTTAGCGAACTCCATTATTTCTCTTCCATTGAACATCATGGCTTAGCCTACGGTTATTGACTTTAGCATACTAAATCTTGCAATGATTTCTCATTTAATGAATTGAATTATCCCAAATTGTGTCAAGGTTGTGAAAAGCTCGGCTTCAACCTATTTGATGGAGTAATCCGTAGCCACCAAGATGTAAACGTGTTGCTTATTAGAGTCAAGGTGTATCTCTTCAATAATTTTGATTTCCCATTCTTTAGAGGGTCATGGATTTATTAGGCAGTATAGCTCTATAGCATGGACTCTGCAAGTTGCCATGTCTTTGGCATGGTTTACATCCTCTAAATAGTGCTTTGCAATCTTGCTTTACAGCTTCTCCTTTTGATGACTTCGATCAATTTAGATGCTGCAAGGAGTGACCCGCATACCTGAATGAACTTCAACCATCAATATCATGGCTTCTTTAATTCTTATGCATTTTATTAGATATCCATATAAATATCACCTCTACATAGTTTATCATTCATCATGGTGTAGTTCAAGACTATCAATTTTAATGTTTTATCCCTAGAGAACTATTAAGGATTTTCCAAGTTCTGCGTTATTGGATGCCTCCAATCATCTTCTCCCAAAGCTTCGAGCAAATTGATTTTTAGGAGTCAATCTCTTTCATGACTTATTGGGAGAGGGTTCTCCAGCATACAAGCTATTTCTTTGAACAACGTTGTTGGACACTTGTATCTAGAAGCCAGTTGTGCCAAATCATTTGCATAATAGTTATTTTCTCTTTGTACATGTCTAATCAAGATGTGATCGAACTTTGAGAGTAGGTATTTTTCCTTCTTTAAGCATCCTTTCAATCTAAAATTTTGGCAATTGTATTTTCAAGTGAACTGGTTAATAACCAACTCCGAATCACCTTATCTCTACATTCTTTACTCCGATAGGTAGAAAGATTTCAAGGATATTGTAAGTGTCTTATATTTTTCTTTATTATTGGTACATGTTCCATGTAATTAAAAAGTCATTTTGGTGATTGACCCATGTATGGATTGAAAAAGTAACCTTACTCATATATCAACGCTAGTACTAGATCCATCAAAGAACAATGTACAAGGTACCATCTAAATTGTTGCAATATTTTCATTATATTGTTGCAATATTTTCATTATATTCCTAAAGGTTTACAGATGAATGGTCAGCTAAAAAATTTGTCCAAGACTTATAGCTTTATTGATTTCTTTAGAACATATACCATATCATCCTCAACTAGAACTATACTTCATTTACTAATTCTATCTAAAAGTATTGGTTTATTTAACAAATATTTAATCACATCAATCTAACCAATTACATGAATAAAATGTGACATCAAGTAATGTTTTAGTTTAATAGCTACATGGTATGAGGACGGACATAACGCTTCCATTGGATAATATCTACTTTCAACATCATTTAATATTCTACTCAAGTAGAATATAGTCTTCTCCTGGCCATGCTTATTATATTATACTAACAAACTTTTAATTTAGTTTTTCACTACTCGTAATGTACAACTTCAATGATTTTGTCTGGTTTTAAAGAGACTAAGACAAGAGGATTTCATAAATATTCTTTGATTTTATCAAAAACTTATTGATGCTTTAGCCTCCATTGAAACTTCTTTTTCGCTTTTAACTTTATTAAAAGTGTGAAGATCTTGGTTTTTTCTCATAAGATTGGAAATAAACCATCTTAAATAGCTAATGGGACTATAGAAATTAATAAACTTAGCCTTACTTTTGGGAGGCTTTACTTCTATGATTGCTTTTGCCTTTTTTTTTTTCCTACCTCGATGACTCTATTATGAATTAGGAATCTAAAAAGGTTTCTGTAAAGACTTTAAAAGAACATTTAATTAGATTGAGATTAAATTTATATGCTTTCATTCTTGAGAAAGCTACTATTAAGTCATCCCTATACTTTTATTAACTTTTGACTTGACCATAATATCATTAATGTATACTTTTATGTTTTTATCAATTACGTTATCAAAGATTATTTAATCACTCTTTAGTACGTGGCCTTAGTGTTTTTTAAATCAAAAGGCATCATTACTCATTTGTAGTCTCCAACGAGCTCCTAGACATTGAAAAGCCCATTTTGTGGATTTCTTCCTCTCAATAGAGATTTGATTATTACCAACATATTAACCATAATAAATAGGACGTTAGCAACTACATCAACTAAGATGTCTATTGAAGACATAAGGTACTTGTCCTTTGGGGTAGCTTTATTCAAATCCATAAAGTCAATACACACGTAGGTCTTACCATTCTTTTTAACTACTAAAACTATATTGGACATTCATTTGACATATCTTGTAGTATGGATGAAACCAAGTTGTTTCATCTTTCATGTTTTACAAGACTTCAAGCTATTCTCTTAGTTGGTTGATTAATAAGTTTAGCTCCTTGTTTGATTCGAATGGTTAGTTCTACCAATTCTCTATCCTATCCTAGCATGTCTTTATAATCTCATGCAAATAATCTTTGAAAAATTTCAATAGTTTTGTCATTTCTTTTGTATCCTCTTTTTTCAAAAAGGTGTTAATGTATGTGTTTGTGTGTGTGTGTGTGTGTAAGTTTCTCTTTTCCCTCAATTCCTAGATTTACTTTCTCAAGAGAATTTACCTTTTTATATGATCTTTCTTTAGGGATTTTCATCTATAACTCTATTGGTTCTATTATTGCTGATTGATTTTTAGTTTTTGCCTAATTTGGATGGTACTCCATCCTTATATTCCTTTTAGTAAGGTACCTTGTAAGTCTCTAGATGGCGCCTAGGCTTTTGCTTCTCTAGAGTTGTAGTTATCGGAATGCTCATTTCTAAGGAAACACTATTGCTTCGTTCCAACATTTTCTTGTTGAGAGCAGCTCACTCGGGTTCCTTCATTCCTTTCTCTAGCTCCTCAATCTTGATAGTTGATCTAAGTCATATCACACTAGTATAAACTCTAATTGTAGTCCATTTAGCAATGTAGAATCTTGCTTTTAGATGGGTTGTGCTGGCCATAAATTATTATCAACACAAATGATTTCATACTTTTGTCCATTCTAAGAAAGCATGAATTGGTGAAGGTTCAAAGGATACGAGTTGTTGGCATAAAGCCAATTCCTTTTCAATAATACATTATAGCTTAAGGTTATATCCACTACAAAGAAAACGAGTATTAGTGTTCAACATCCCGGTCTTTAAGCTTACTTAGAAAATCCTCTAAGCCTCGTAGCATATTTCTTACTATGAGTATGAGGTATTTCTCTATTTTATTTATAACATCTAACATATATGGAGGCAAGATATTAATTATAGCATCGTTATCTTCTAGTACCATGTTAACTCATATTCTATTCATATTTGCCTTGATGTACAAGGGCTTTAAGTGAATTGAAGCCTTCCTTTTTTCTCTCTCTAAGATTATTTTTATTGCTTCCCATTCTTTGGCTCTTCCATTCGTTTTTTAAGTAGTTGAACTTGTATCTCTATTTACATAAAAGTGTCTCCTTAGAATTTTATAAGGTCGAAAGTTTCTACCTTGGATGAAATTTTTAGGCCATC